AGCTGAGGGCTCGGCGAGTGCGACAACGGCACACCAAGAAACACCAGAGAATCCCCAGTCTGAAGTGGTTGAGCTCTGCCCCTAACCCAAATACCTGGGTGACTGCCATCATGTGAGCTCATGACCTTACTCTTCTCCGGGTTGGCCTCCAGACCGATGGTGCTAAGAACATCCATGAGATGCTGTAGCTTGGACTGCAGCCGTTCGGATGATTCCGCGAACAGAATTATGTCGTCTGCATATATGATGAAGTGTGGGAGTCCCAGTTGTGGATTATTCCAATCTGAAAAGATCGAGTCAAAGTGATCATGAGCAGGCGCCAAAAAGAAATCCATGACCCTCGAGAACACATCTGCAGAGTATGCCGTGCCCTGCATGAGGCCTCTCCCTAAGTGAATCCTTTCGGTTCTTCCTGCCAGCGACAAGTCTACCGAAGTACCCATGATCAACTGGAACAATCTATCACACTCGACGCCAGGTGAACAATGTAACAGCCATCGACGGACAGCCTGCTGACTGAGGCTATCAAACGCAGCTTTGATGTCAATCTTGGCAGCATAGGCCGCACCCTTTGTCTGCCGAAGTAGTTGTAAAGTAGCTTGGGCGGCCATTATGCCGTCAGCCGCCTGTACTCCAGGCCTGCAACCGATTTGGTGCCCTGAGTAGGCTGGGGCTCTGCTATGGACTCTCGTCATCAGTACCTTAGAGAAAATCCTGCAAAGCACCGGCGTAAGACAGATCGGCCGCAGCTCCTTTGGTTGGGATGGCCTGGGAACTTTGGGCAGTAGCACGATGCGTCCTCGCTTCCATGATTCAGGAATAGGGCACTCACCCCTTATGAGAGAAGTGAAGTAGCGCGGAATCCGCATGGCCTTGTCCTGTACCAAGAGATGCCTAAACCCTTCATACGTGGTACCATCCAGGCCTGCACTCACCCCACTACGGCATCCTTTCAAAGCATGAAAGACTTCCTCAAGGCTCACCGGGGCTGAATGGAGTGGGTTACTGCCATGCAGTTCACGAACGGCTCGACTTTGTTCCTGCGTAACAGGCTGGTCATGCATTGCATATTTAGCCCGATAGAAAGCAAAGAGGTCCTGGGAGGCTCTCTCAGCCCCACCCGCTCTCTGAACATAAGAGCCTTCTGTTTGACTCCCTGCTGCACTGGCTCTCATGTGTGCTATTGCTCTGCAGTTTCCTGCTCTCGCTTGCTCGAGCAGGTGTTCTTTGTGTGCCGCTTTAGCATCAATCCTTGTTTGGTGGACTTCTTGCATGAGCGAAGAACGCAGCCACGGATCCACCGAAGATTTGCGCCTCTCTATCATTTCTTTAACGTTGGGAGGGTCTTTATACCTGAGTGACGCAGGTCTAGAGCTGACACCTTTAAGTCGAAAAGCTGCAGCCAGCACCTCGTCGTTCCAAGTCGCTGAGTGCTGCAGATGTTTCCATAAAGTGTCAACGGCAACATTCCACTTCCCACATAATGTTCGAGGTGGTCTTCTGCGGTTCCTACTATCGGCCTTCCCTCGAAAAACCATGTGCATGACAACAGCGTTATGGTCTGAAGGTAGGCTGATTCTGAGGTCCTCTCGCTTCTCGAATTGGAGCTCCACGCCTCTAACTTGGTGCAAGAAAAAGTCAATAGCTGAGGAACATCCCCTGGCAAACCAAGTATCGCCGAGGTCTGGGCTGGGCTGCAAACCAGTCTGAAAAACAAATTCTCGGTAGTACATCATGCCACTAAATTCGTCATGCATTGCATGCAAATTCTGATTCAAGTCATGTCCTAGCAAGACATTGCTCTGCCAAGGAAGCCCCGCCAAATTCTCAAGAAGAGATCCCAACCCCCTTTCCCACGTGTCCACTGCATCCGGTCGCTGCTGGTGCGGGAAGTGTAGGCTACCCAAAACCCAGGGGGAAGATTGCATGACCCCTTGCAAAAGTATTCCGAATTCATGGACATGCACCCTGCTCTCAACAAATTCGCAGTCCAAAGCAACAAGGATGGCAGAACACCGATGACTCAAGGTAGGGTTAGCCAAGAAGACCTGATATTCCCGTCCTGCAATGAATTCAGTATCGGTCCTCGTGCTACCTTCTGGAAGTCCCCTGACATCACCGAGCTCCTGAAAGAAGTATATATCGTACGGCGTCTCCAGGCCTTGCAAGAGAGTAGACACATGCTGTATGCCTTTACCGTGTACATTCCAACTACATGCATCCAAACTGAAATTGCGAAAGGCAGGTTGTGAAACAAATGCGCGCTGACTATCGACTGCTCTCACCTGTGACGCCTCCCTCCCCCTTTCCTACTCCAGCCCATAGTGTGATAGAATCGCGGATCTGGAAATGCCGAGAACTGCTTGTACCTGGTCAAGGTCTAAGTACCACCCAGTCTCGTTACCACGTGCATCGATGAGCATGAGTGTATTATCTCGACGCTGTCTATTCTCCACATGGTGAAGTATTTGGACTGAATTTGCCCAGACCCTGCCTTTCCAATCCTTATCGGTGCACAATTCACCAACATGCTTGCAGCAGAGTTCATAAGTGGAAAGAACCGCCCGAATCTTGGCCCTCTCCTGGATGCTTCTGTTACGTGCAGCCCAGAAATTACACCCCTGCTGACCTGGGATCGCAGAGGAGTACCGAAGCTCCTTAATGGCCTGAACAATGATGCCCTGTAATTTACGTCTCTTCCAAACATCAGGTTCCGGATAGTTAAGTTCCACCCTACAGTAGACACACCGAACATAGGGAACGTAGATGGCCCTTATCAAGGCAGCACCGTTCATTTGATCAAACATGCCTTTGACGTCTTGTTCTATACCATCGCGCCTGCACTCATTCCAGCCCCCAATGACTATCTGCATCTCATCCACCTCCCCGTTACCTCCCCCCCCACCTCCCCCCACCTTGTTGAGTCCTAGGATGACCTCCATCTGACCTAGGAGTACCTGGGCCTCGGTTCGGGGCGGGGCTGACACTCCGAGTGGGAGGGGCAGACTTGATGTTCTGGAGTTCCTGTTCTAAAGCCTTAAAGTCATCACGCATCCTCTGCAATGCCGCTTCCTGCTCGTCAGCTCTTTGTACCAAGGTGCTTTGTCCTGTTCCTAGCTGCCTAATATCCGATTGCAGGACCTTAAGGTTACGCCCCCAGTCTGCTAGCTGATGAGCCATTTCCTTTTGGGTGTTCAGGACTTCTCTGAGTTCTTGTCTAAGGCCTCCTATCCAGGGGGGTTCCGTGAGGTCATACCGTTCAGGTTCCCTACGAGAAGACTCATGTTGGGGGACTACAGCCGGGATTGGGGGTGCAGTGGGAAAAGGGTCCACTTCAACGACGGAAGTAGGCGGTCCTGATTGTCCGTCACCTGAGGGCGCAGGTCCCATATTCGTAACCATCACTGATCCTGCGCTCCCATGGAAAAGAGGTGGGTATGCAGGGCCACTACTGCCAAACCGTGGTGCTCCTGGTTCCTGCGGCGGGATCTTGGAGGTGGTGGTCTTGAGTCTTTTCTCCGGGCTTCCCAGCAGTGGGTTACGTACGCCATCCCAACTACCGTTGGTTTCTCCCGCTGCGGGAGGGATCTGTTCGGGTTCCAGAGGGCCTCCTAGTGCTGCTGCCAGCGCAGCCTGAGCTGCTTCGTGAAGTATCTCTTTATCTCTCTCACCGTTAGGTCGTGCCCTGCCTCGCATAGGATTATCTCTCTCCCTCTGTCTGCCTCTACGTTCATCGTCAACATCCATGCGAGCATGCAGGCGTTGAGAAACATCAAGGACGGTCTCACGCGGCACTACCTCTCGGGCCCCTCCCTCCAGCCCCTCGTCAAGGGCCACCCCAGCAGCCCCCCTGTGCCCCGGGAGCGGTTGCATGGGGACAGTGTCTTCGTCCGTCATGGGTCAGGAAGCGTGTCGTGGGAGCAGACAGTGACGAAAAAGGTGGACGGCGCAAGGGTCGCAAGTGGAAGCAGAGCAGCACACCAACACTGCACTGTAGGTTGCTCAAGGGTTTAGGGTTTAGGGGTTGGGTTTAGGGCCGCCAAAGCTTGGGGTCACGTGTTGGGGTCCTCTGAAACTTGCATATTGAGCAAACGAAAAGCTTCTACAGTTGCCTTGAGCCAAAATGGCTTGAGCCAAAATGGCTACGGTTGGCTCAAGGCAACTGTAGAAGCTTTTCGTTTGCTCAATATGCAAGTTCAGGGTTTAGGGTTTAGGGTTTAGGGGTTTAGGGTTTAGGGTTTGCTGGGTTAGGGACTTCTGCAAAGGATGTTGCTTTTGTCGCACCCTCCCCTTGAATACCTGGCTTTTCGGCGTCTGGCTTTGCAATTCCTGCTTTCAGTCGATTATCTATCTATCTATCTATCTATCTATCTATATATATATATATACATATATATATATACACACATGTGTGCGTGTATCTATCTATACATACATATATGTATATACACATATATATATATACACACACAGTATATGTATGTATATATATATATATATATCTATATCTAGGCATTTTATATATGTACACATACATAAAAAGTACCTGCTTGGGGCTATTTGGAGTCTAAGCGGATTGACTCTGGTGGCGAAGTCAGACTTCGCAGAGACGTGCTGAGAACCCTGCAGCTCAGCAGCCTCAGCCGGTGATGGTCGATGCGGTTTAGTGGAGGGTTTAGGGTTTAGGGTCTAGGATTTAGGGTTTAGGGTTTAGGATTTAGGGTGTAGCTTTCAGTGTGAATCTTAGATGCAGCGTCACACCATCATCATCAACAAACTTGCAGTATAAGGTTTCAATTCAGGCAAAGTTGATAGGTTCCCTGGTCTCAACAAAGGTCATGCCACCATGTAGACTGAAAATACAGCTAAACCGTCACGTACTCAGCTACCGAGAAGGTTTGCAGCACAAGTAATTCGCCCGTAGTCCTCCCAGCCAGGCTTCTATTGTCTACATGTCTGCGAACCAGGGTTTCAAGTCTTCTTCGGTGCATCTAACCCGCCTTCCACAGCCAAACGCCCGTCATTAGGTTCAGCATGGCCATGCTATAAACCTGGCACGAGTGCTGGTAGCCACCACACCGGGTGATGGCTGTGGGTTGGTGTTCGATGTTTGTGTTTGGGACCTAGGAACCAGGCCTTGTAGGTTTGGCGGGTTTCAGATTTCGGCTTACTGTAACATGTTTTGGGCTGTTGTCTCGGAGGGTCTGGGCTTGAAAGATTTTGGTACCCGGCTGAGGTCCTTTTGGTGGGAGGGGAGCTTCGTTTGGGAAGAGGCTCGAGCACACTTGTCCTGCAACTCTTTCAAAAGCTGCATGACTGGGAAGTCTTTTGATCACACAGAGATGCTGCATCGATCAATCATCAGCCTTGCCCTTGCCGACAAAGCCGCATACAAGCTTACAGGACGCAGCTGTGCAGGTTGCGGTTGCTTCTGGCAGATGACCACTCTCGAAGCGAATTGCTTGTAGAATTCTGAAGCTGTTGCTGTGCCGAACGACCTGGTCAGCGTGTTTTGCGCATCGGAAACCCAACAGTAATCACGTCTTCCCGCACGGAGAAACCAGGACTACATGCTCCGTCTTACTGCTGCGGCGTGCACGACACCAGGATTTTGGTCTGCAAGCTTGTGGCTTTCACATGAAGCCAAAAGATGGTACATCTTGACCGCCGAAACATTAAACCCCGATTAAAAAGCAAGACCCCAAGATATGGGTCCCACGCTACAGGAAGCAAAGGCGCCAAATCTGAACACCTCAATAGACAGACTTGGCCCTGACCCCTTCACTAGGGACCAAGGAGCAAGGTTGCCGACCGCTTCGTGGATTGACCACTGGCCATCGTTGTCGTCATTGTCATCAACAAGAATTCCTGGGAGCCGCTGCTGAATTTTACGAGAAACACATTCCTTTCCATCTTTCTACAAGCTTGATGTCCTCAATATGCACGAAGCATCACAAAGTAGCACTACTATTTATACTTATACACATCTTCTTATTGCTTGTGCTTCGATAACCTTTCGTCTGCATACTTCTAACGAGTAGTAGTGACACTAGTTGCTTTCGGTGGTCGTGGTAGCCGCACGAGCAGTAGCAGACGAGGCAGCAGTGGCACTAGTACCATCAGTTGCGCTCACAGCAGCAGCATCAGGATGTGTTGCTGAGATGGCAATTTCGTCGAAGTGATGGCAGTGTGTTAGTGGTACATGTAGTGGTGACGGCTGGAGCTGGCAGTGGGGCCTCCATGTCAATCAACGATGAGATTCATTGAGGCAAACCGCAATCCATGCAAACCCAAGATACCCTTCGAGCCTCGCCTAGAAATCCTAAGCAACGGAAACCCTAAACAACTTCCCCTCCGAGTTGCTGTACTTGAGGATGCCGATGAACACCTGAATTGCCAGCCCGCCCAAACACGCGTAGCCTGGCCAGGCGAGTTTCGGAAAATTAGGGAGCCTGATCTATAGATCCTAAAATTGGGCAGATGCTCTCTGCAACGCGTGCTCGGACGAGCTCTTAGGGCGAACCCGACTTGAAGAGCACTCCCGTTTTATGTGGGATTGCTTGGGGTTCTGGTTTACGAAGCTGAAGCTTGTCGCGTTTAGGCTCCGGGTGGGTCTGGTACAACTGGGGCTTGTTTGCGGGTCCAGGGTATATAGAGCCCTCCGAAAACCGAAGCCACTCGTTCCGTAAGCCAGCATAGATTACTCCAATCCCACAGCAAACGAACCCCTATGAGCCTGCGAACTAATCCCGGAACTCCTAAAACCTACCTCTACACCCTACTAGGAGTCGTTGAGCTCCTTGACATTCTACCCTAACCCTAAACCCTGCATTCGAAGGCGGGAAACAGGGTACTTGCGAATTCTGAATTCAGGTTCCAAGTGGGGGGGGAGCAAGAGTATGTCACCTCGACAGCCTATAAGTAGGGATCCTGACTGCCTAGAAACAATAATTTTTCGGAAGGAGCTCTGTAGTGTATCGGGATAGCTTCGACGAGCATATCAGTAATAGTAGTAGGATAAGGTGCGTGAGAGGCATAGGAGCTTGAACTAAAGGTATATAAGAGAGAGTCCAAAAAGCTTACCAACACTATTCTGGTGTTCTCTATTCTAACCATAGCATAATGTGTCCCAAAACCCTGTTCCAATTATTAAGGCGCCCTTTGTTTCTTATAAAGTCCACAGAGCCAACCAAGCTCCACGTATACATGATTATGACTTTTGAGGAAGACCGAGTTATACATAACTATGACTTTTGAGGAAGACCGAGTTATACATAATTATGACTTTTTAGCAAAGCCGAGTTATATATATATATATATAATTCTGACTTTTTGGTCAAGCCAGGCTAGGGTTTAGGGTTCAGGGACAAGGGGAAGCTGTGTTTTTCTTTATGACTCTTTCGGAACACCCAGGTAGGGGTGGTTGGTTTGAAAGGTTTCGACCCTGGGCTGATTAGGGTCGTTCTCTTTTGCAGAGGTATCTGCTAGCCATAATCTTAGCTTAGGGGCCTTAATAATTAGAATAGGGTTTTGGGGCCGACTATTCTACTATATTTACAATAAGGAATCCACCCAAAGTAGTATTGGTAATTATTTAGGCCCCTACATTAATTCAACATCAGGGTCTTGCCTAGGTGGCGATTGCCGGGCTTCATGCTTGCATCTGGCGTGGCACTACAGGGGCACGTAGTTCTCTAAATTAGGGTCCCTTTTAGGGTCCTTTTTTTTTTATCAGGGTGCCGTACTATATATGGGATGCAAAAAGGGACCCTAATTTAGAGAACTAGGGTCCCTTTTAGAGTCCTTTTTGAGGGTGCCGTACTATATTGGGGACTCAAAAAGGGACCCTAATTTAGAGAACTACCCACATACTAGGCTCCTCAGTTCCCGGGCTCTTATTTAAAAAAGCATCGCACGTCCAAGGAAAGTATGGCAAGGACCCCCAATGTCGAACCCTCATGAAGCCCTTATACTGTCCCTTCATAAGCTCGAAGTCCACATGGCTCTGAAGACTTCTCCGCTGGCAGCCCGAGACCCTCCACCCTTAAACCCCCCCCGAAACCTAGCATCCTAAACCCCTACAAGTAAAGAACTAACTACAGGTGGGGAGTTTAGGGTATGTAATAGGGCTTCTCTAAGGCTTATAGACCCCTATAACGGTAACTACCCACCTGAAAAGGTCCTAGATACAACCTACACTTCTAAACCCGAACCCCTAAAACCCTAAAGCCCTAACCTCCAAAGCCTGAACATCCTACAGCCTGAACTCTAAAACCCGAAAAGCCCTAAACCTTGCGATGCCTATGTAGATGTGAGCCAGGCGCAGCCACACTAAGCCGTCGGAGAAACCTCGAGCTTGGCTTTAGGGCTTTAGGGCTTAGGGCTTAGGGGTTAGGGGTTAGGGGTTAGGGCTTAGGGTTTAGGGTTTAGGGTTTAGGGTTTAGGGTTTAGGGTTTTAGGTTTAGAGTGGGCTTTATATGGTACGTGGTCGTTTGAGGTAAATACATCCAAGAGTGCTCGAGGTCCAACTAAGTTCCTGGGTTGAGGCGTTCCGGGGTTAGGGCTTCAGGGTCATAGAGTTTTTGGGGTTTGGGGCTTCAGGGCTTGGGGTTTGCTGCGAACAGCTCTTGGTTCAGAGCTTTTTCGAGAGTCAGATGTGCTAAGCACGTGGCCTTGAAAGCCAAAACCCTCAACATCCCAGCTTTTATCCCGACTCTAGCCCTAAACCCTACACCCTAAACCCTAAACCCAGCCCCAGTCTGAAATTCAAGGGAAGGAAGCTCCCTAAACCCTAAACCCTAAACCGAATCAAACCTTGTGGGCCGACCCTCAACTCCGAACTCAACTCCGATTACCATTAGGGTTTAAGGTTTCGGGTTTAGGATTTCGGGCTAAATCCAGGATTAGGATTTATAGGGTTTAGGGTTTAGGATTTAGGGTTTTAACGTTTAGGGTTTAGGGTCTGGATCAAACTGCATCCAGGGAGCTCGAGACAGCGAAGAGGGCCTCCCCAGAGTTCGTGTGGGCCTATGCAAAGCAAGCTTTCATTGAAAGGGGCCGCAAACGATATTACCGTAAACCCTAAACCCCAAGCCCTATAAGCGCTAGGAGACCTATGCCCTATCAGCCCATTTTTGTTGCATCCGGGTTTGCGAAGTTGGCCGGAAAAGTGACAGAAAACATCAGCATTGTGCCAAGCCGTAGCGTCGTAGCACTACTGGCTACAGTTCATGATCTTACGATACCAAAGCTAACTGACGATTTCACCTGTAAGTACAAGGTGAAATTTCCGGCTAGTTCTAAAGTATGACCCCCCATAACCCTATAAGCCCTCAACCGTATACAGATCTCGAGGGGGCTTCTTTAAACTCTGGAAGCTCTGCATGACAGGCAGTCTTAAGGTCCAGAGTTTAGAGGTTTGGATTCTAAGCAAAATGTGCGTGTGCCCTGTAATTAGGGTTTAGGGTTTAGGGTTTAGGCTTTAGGGTTTAGGGTTTAGGGTTTAGGGTGTAGTCTGCGATCGTCGACCTGCCTGCGCGACGAAAGCTGCGATCCTTTTGAGCCTGCACCTGACTAAGCCTTAAGCTCTCATCCCTCACTCCGACATGGGGGCTTCCGAAAATAGGGGATCCTAATATAGCACCCTTAATAGTGTTCTAATATATGGACCCCCATATAAGGTACCTTTTATTTTCGGAAACTCCCACGAAAACAACGATTCTAGATCCGAAGTTCGACGTTCAGCAACCGGTGGGTCAGTGGGAGGGACAACTACCTGAAACTCAATCGCCTCGACAATCTGCCTTTTTAAAGTTTTCGAAAGCACATACGATTACTTGGCTGACTTCTAAGCCCCTCCAAAAAGTTGAACTTTAAGTCTCCTTATTATGGTTCATATAGAAACCCCAAAAGTTAAAGTTCTAAGAGCCAACCAGAAGAACACCAAGATTTTTTAACCTGCAGGATACTTCTTGGAAAGACCGGCGGGCACTCGACTCGTTTTGTTTTGCTTCAGCATTTGAGGAAAAAACTTAGCCTCCCT